GTAGAATGTATAATAAACATTTCTTTCGTATAACTATGTCACAAATATTGCATGGAACATACGTAACACTAAAAGAGTATTTGTTGTGTATCTACAATTCAGATTTAACTGAATTTTATCTGGCAATTCTACCTACAACCTTTCTTTCCATAGCAGCCTCCAGCATTATTTTAAATAGCTTTATTTGTTTTATTATTATTATTATTTTTAATGGAGGTACTGGGGATTGAACCCAGGACCTCGTGTATGCCAAGCATGCATTCTACCACTGAGATGTATCCACTCCCCTGCAAACAGCTTTATCGATATCTAATTTACATACCCTAAAATTCACCTTTCTAAAGTGTACAATTGAATGAATTTCATTGCATACTTACAGAGCTCTAGGATCATCACCACAATCTAATTTTGGAACATTTCCGTAAGCCTAAAAAGAAACCTCATACCCCTTTGCAGTCACCCTGGATTCCTACCCTCAGCTCAAGGCAAACACTGATCTACTTTGTGTCTTGAAGAATTTGCCTTTTTTGGACATTCTATCAAATGTCTTATGATGTTGGAATCATAGAGTATGTGACCTGCCTGGCTTTTTTTTTAACTGAGTATAATGTTTTTGAGGTTAATCCCTGTTGTAGTGTGTATATCAGTGCTTTGTTTCTTCTTACTGCTGAAGAGTCAGCAATACAATTCATCATCAGGGTACACCACATTTGGTTTATTTACCTGTTGATGGACATTTGGGTTATTTCCTCTTTTTTTTTTGCTTTTGTGAATAATGCTGTTATGACTTTCAGTTGTATATGTTTTGGTGTGGACGTTTGTTTTCATTTGTCTTGGGTAGATACCTAGGGTTGGAATTATTGGGTCATATGGTAAGTCTATGTTGAACTTTGTTAAAAAAAGTCTTTTTTGAGATATATTTCACATGCATAAGGATGTTTCTTGACGTTAAAGTATTATCTCTGTACCTGGTGATCAAATCTCTCCAGTTTTTTTGTCCAAGAAGTCAAAATAAGATGAAAGTGAAAATAAAATTTTAAATTTAAAAAAATAAAAAAGAAGTTAAAATAAAACCCAAACTTCTCACAGATATTTACAAGGTATATGATAGGTCCTCAACAGATCCTTTTGTTAATCCCTCTGCCACAGATGCCCTCCCAGCGCCCACCCCACTACATGGACCTGTCTGTAGTCATCTTTGAACTCTGGTTAAACTATTTCCTCCACAAAACCTTCCTGGCCCTCCGGGATAGACGAAGTCTCAGCCGTTACTCAGCTCTTTCTTAAACACTCTATTTTACTTTGAGTTTCTTCCACGGATCCTAGTTACAAAGGAATTAACGTTTCTTTGCCCTGCTAGACATTGAATTCCTCAAGAGCGGTGGGTAACAGTTTTCCCAGTATTTACAACTGGTAGGCACAGTTTCCAGAGCCTTAGGGGTGGTGAAAGCGTTTAATCCTTACTCCCCTATAAGATCGGTATCATTATGAGTCCCATTTTACAGGCAGGGAGCCTGAGGCACAGAGGTTACGTAATTTGGCCAGCCAGTGCTCAATACATTTTTCTCGACTGAATTAATATGTATATTGGGTATTCTGTGGCTCTGGCATATGGTAATAAATTCACCTTGAGAGAAGAAATAAGTGTTTTGTGCATCTTTTGGCTGTTTATCCTCAGACCCCGCCATGGCCCGCCCCTACCCCTAAGTCCCGCCTCCTCAAGGAGGCAACGGCGCGGCCCTATTTTTGAGTTGAACCTTGTCTCTTAAGATGTCCAATGGCGGACAGCTGCTTAAACCTTTCCTTCTGTGACAGCCAATCCCCGCTCTCTACCTTGAGCCGCTTCACCCGCGGTACCCAATGGCCTGCAGCTCTGTATTAAGCCACCCCTCAAGGGAGCGGGAGGCTATCAATGACCCGCCCCTATATCGATTGGGCCTTCTTTCCTGTGGTATCCAATGGCATGCTTCCTGCTTAAAACTCCTCCTCCTGCGGCGGTCTACGGCCCGCCCCTCTGCCCTAAGCCCCGCCCATAAGAAGCCTGACTGCCCGCCTCTTCACTCTTGGAGCGCCTCTGTTTCTCTCCTCCCACCTTTTCTCTTTCACCTCCCATAACCTCCGTCCACTCCCATTAGGCCTCTGGGTCACGCCCCCTTGGCTCTACCCGTTATCCAATCCCGTTAACTTGCTCTGCTCCAACCCCTCTTCTCATTGGTTCCCCTGCGCCTCTATCCTCGCACGTGGTCATGAGCGACGGCGTCGCCAGCCCGTGACGGCCGGTGGGCGGGACTTCCGGTGGCGCGCAGCCCAATAAGCACGTTCAGATCCGCTACCCAGGCCGCCGCCACCGCCCCCTCGGCGCTCTGCTCCCGCCCCCGGCTTCGCCTCCCGTGCCGCCGCCTCCGCC